ACAGATTTAAAAACTGTGCAGAAAACCGATCAAGATGAAGATATTTGGAAAGTTTCAGTGTGTTGTGTTGATATATCTGCAGACAAGACATTGTGATTTTGGCTTTTGAGGTCAAACTTTGCTTCATTTCCTACTTAGTTTACAGAAAACAGCTACTTTGGTATGCAATGCATCTGCAGTGAATTGTGCTGTATTTGATTTGAATCAGAGGGTCTGAATTAAGTGGTTCCCAGTGGGATAGTTAAACTGGAATGTGTTGATTCAGATTTTTGGCTCTTAAAGTTAGTCAACCCATCACCAGTTGTGAGACAAGCATTAGCATCTCATGTGTAATCAAAGGTTAAAACCCAACACTGTGATTCAGAACGTCTGTTGATGTGTCCCACAAAACCTCTAACACACTTTCCATTTTTTAAACCTGACATTTAACTTTATTATGTTTACAAAAGACTGGAATCTACCTGGTCCAGCCTTCCCTTGTTGAGATATCTCCAGAGAAGCATGTTGGCGAGTCAACGTACCAACAGAAAGGATCATCATAAACTGTAACATAGTTATTTTTATTCTACAGGACTGCACAAGATTAATACCACAGATAAATCTGTTCATTTTGATTTGAAAGTCTAATTTAAAAGTTTCTCTTTGTGTGTGAAATCTTTTTTTAATCCTGCAGCCCCAGGTTAGAGGAGGAAAGTTGAACAGATTGTGTTCAAGCATTGACTTCACAGCTGAAAAACCCCCTACTGAAGATGCGTCACCACAGCTGAAAATGCCAGGAAGTCGAGTCAGAGTGCAGCACACGGTGAAACAGGCCTGCTGTGGATTCAAACAAAATTATCTGGTTATGTCAGGGACTGTTAAACTTCACTTTGGCTGTTCCAATTTCAAATCATTTTACAATAATGTTTTGGAAACTTTGACATTGGCTGAAATACTTTCTTTGAGGCATTCAAATATTGGCAAAAAATCTCACAATCAGTTGTGAGGACGGAAACCTTGTCAAGACAAACTATAGCAGTAGCAAAAATGTTTGCTTTGTATGTCGGTCTAGCCACGCTTCAATGCAGCCTTAGCAGGTCTATCATTAGTTTGGCTAAAGCCGGGCGTACACTGTGCGACTTTTTCACTATTTTGAGCCGATTGTCCACTCGTGCGAGAAACCACAAGATCAGGGCGAGTTTTGCGCTGAGCGTCGTGTAGTGTACAGGGGGTTACGAGAGGCGATTGACACCACGTGACCAGCTACCGATCAGCAATCGTGAGCTCGCACGGACTTCTGGAGTGTTTGATATTTTGCTCGTTCCTCGTGAGGGTATCGCACTGTTGAAGCGGCGCAGCAAGCGGCTGCAACCCAAAAAGTACCAGAACTGATCACGGAGCATGCGTAATCATGCGTCCACACCGCTCGCCCGCTATTCCCTTAATAACACACGTTGTTCGTTTTTATTTCTACACGTCTTTTACACACAATGACAAGGATTGTCAAAAAAGCACGTTCGCCATGCTCATGTCAAATTAAACTGATCACAAAACACAGATTTACTTTCTTTATTTTGTTTTCCTCATCCAACCCCCATAAATCCCTGTGTGTCCTCCTGCAGCACTCCCGAAGGACAACAGGCAAAACAACTCAAAAAAGTCTGACGTGTTGAGTAAAAACTGCTACTTTTAGCACATTTTTAGGTCCGGCGTGTTGCTACCAGACGTACAGTGTGAGCAGTCAGGTCGCATGCGAGAACTGGGTCGTACAGTGTGAGCACATGACTCGTGAGATCTGCTCTGCGAGGAAGTCGTACAGTTTGAGCTGAAGCTGAGTGCTACAAGTGAAAAAGTCGCACAGTGTACGCCCGGCTTAAGTTTAGGTTGGGCCAATCACAGTGTTCTGTGTTTGTAGAAATATTGGGTGGACTCAGCACCCGCAGAGCCCGCGTGGAGTAAAACTACAAACATGGCAGCAGCTCAGGAATGCCACTCATCTGAAGTGGCTTTGGCATCAGCTTTGGACAATTTAGACTTTCTTTGAAACATGAGCAGAAAGAGGTGCTTAAGTCATTTACTTTGAAAAAGGAATGACTACCTCGTTGACCGATTTCTATAAAGTGAAAGTTCCATGAGTCATCACACACTGGTGAAATTCATCCTCGTGGGGAGAGGTGAGCTGCAGCTGTGGCCATGCTCGGGAACGGTAACGATGACTAACTTCATGTTGTCCGTTGCTCTGATTAGTCCTAGTGCTGTCCAGTTGTGTTCTGAAACTGTTTGAAAGACAACTATAGATTTTGCCCTATGATGGAGCCGTGGATCATGGCTAGACTATATATTTACATTTATTGGATAACTTTCCAGGCTAGAAAACCCTTTCCAGACCTACACCAACAGATTTCATGGAAAAATGTGTTTGGATTAGACTTTGAACTGCAAATTTCCAATTAGCCATTTATTGCAAAATAATAATTTTTTGTCAGATGTAGTCATTTTATTTTTCAAATCATATTTTGGTAAATGGTTTAGGTGATTAAAAAAATGTCATATGAAGTTTTTTTTGTCAAATTTGATTATGTAAACATAACTCTTTGCTAAATAGATATATAGCATATAGATTTAGAAATCTATATTTATTTGTTTCTTTGTTCGTTCGTTCGCCTCTTAGTTAATTCGATTGATAATTTATTTGTTTGTTTGTTTGTTTGTTCTCTCGTTAGTTTGTTTGTTTGTCTATTCTACAAATGCGAGAAAGGTCAGGAACCTTTTCTCACAATATTTTAGCACCCCACCCCCACCCCAAATTAAATCTAGCATCCTGCTATTTTTTAAATACTTTAGAAAACAGAAAAAGACTCAGGTCTGAAAAATGTCACCGGATTATTTTTAATGTTTATAATTATTAAACATTAAAAATGTGAAGTTTTGACTCCATTATTAAAAAACAAGAACAAAATGAGTTTTTCCTTTAATGAACACTATTGCATTAGTGTTTCAAAGTCAGTAAAACCTTGTAAAAAAACACTTTCGTTGACAAAACAACATATTTTGTAATCTAACAACATTATTTAGTTGACAAAACATCACTGAATCTGTTGGTGAGACTTAAAAGATATTTTGAGTTCTGCACAAAACAAAAGTGTGCAATAAGAAAACAGAGCCTTCTCGTCTGAGGTGGAAGGTTTTCCCAGAACACGAGAAGCCAAAATAGAGCAGAGCAGTCTGTTGGAGGTCAGCCTTTGCTGTGCAGCTCTTAAACAATTCCTCATCCAAGTTTTTCTTCTTCTTCGTTTTATATGGATTATCTGTTACATTTTTCCCCTTTAGTTGGGCTTCAGCCTCGCTGCCTTTGGATGGAGATTTGACTTGAAACCAGTCAGACCTCAGAGGAGAAACCAGCCATCTCCAGATCTCAGAGTCTGTGGCTGTCTGCACCAAGTGGACCACTCCTGAGTTTGTGGGTGCAAAAAATAAATAAAAAATAAAAACAAGGACAAATTGAAATTCCACCCAAAAGTCTATCAAAACACAGCTCTCATTTTTCATAAACAGATTGTTACAGTATTTTTACCATCTGTTCTGGCTGAAGATGAGTTGTTTTGTCTTGTGTTTATGAAATATTGTTATTTTGAGGAGAAGATAATCTGCTGTATTCAGATTCAGTTTAATTTTCTAATTCTTTTAACAAGCTTGTATACTTTCATACTGTAGAAACAACATGTGTGCATATTTTGCACATTGACAGTGTAGTACAGGGATGAGATCTGAGCATTTTAAATCTTATAAAATCCTAATTTACATTCTACAAAGTCTATTCAGACAAACCTGCATTACGTTTTCAACTGTGAAAGCAAACAGCAGTTCCTGGAGAACATAAATGGTAGAAGACACCTTTGATGTGCCTATCTTCAGACCTTATCATGTGCAATTTCCTGATTTATTGCATAAAGTTTCATGGGTTCCTTTCAAGAACTCTAGCTTCATAAGTTCATTAGTACAGTTTGGAGGTATGTGTGCTTTTGTAAATTTTGTAGTGACAAATCTGAAATTTAGGTATTTCTATTGTCATTGACATCAGCTCATAAAAATATTATGATATAAAAAAATGTTTTAAATAAACTTTGCATTAGAGGAAATGATCACACCTGACCTCACAAATCTTTACATTTTATGACATTTTGTTGTTTTAATAGTTTAATGGTTGATATAAAACAAGTTGACGTTCTTTGCACTAAAGCTCTCTCACATAAAGTGATTTGAGCAGTTTTCTTCTTGACAGTTTCAATATCTTCCAGAATGAGTCATTTCAGGGCTTTGTCACTTAAAGAGCAAGTAACGTCTAAATTAACTTTTTTTGCTGATGAACTGTATAAATGAGTGTCTAATAGTGTTTTAAATGTGTGCATTCTTTATTTTAGCATTTTGGTGCATTTTCTTTAAAAATTAAAAATTCTGTCTAAAAACCACAGTAATGCGCCACCTTCAGCTGAAAACATAGAATTTGAGTCATTTTGAATAAATTTTTGCCAATGGCTAAAGAGTAAAGTACTACGTAAACCAGTAGAGTACTACGTAGCAGCTCCGTGCCAAAGTTATAAAAGCAACGAGCGTCTCGGCCACGCCCTGTGGCGAGTGCGAGTTGGATTTGCAAGTGAGTGTAGGAGGTCAGCGGTAGTTCAGCATTAGCATATAGCATTAGCATATCCTAGTCTTAGCATATCTTTTAGTGTTATAAATACTTATTTAGTGTTAGATTTGGGTGTTTGATATTGTAGTTTAGTTAGTGTTTGGCTGTTAGTGTAATTGGGAAAGTATTTCGGGTTTAGTGCTCCATATCGTCTTAGTAATGGTGAGTAGGTGTAGTGTAGTATGCTTGCGGTGACTCTGTGGGCATTTTACCCGCGATTCTGCACGTCTCCGTTAGAAGAGGGAGGCTGCCCACCGTGGCTCTTCCGCGATTTAGATGCAGCCCACCGACTCTGCTCCCCCACCACGGTGGGCTCCAGTCTGAGGTGAGTAAGCTAAATAAACGTTTTAACATCTTCTAAAGACAATTTCCTACCTAAATGCAAAGTCTGAGAGACGTGGTTCACTTCCTTTAGCTAGTCAGTCGGCAATTCTGCAACAGTGGCTCTAACTGACGCAGCACTTGACAGACAGCATTACAGCGTGAAATCCAGCTTGTGAACAGGTTCTGTAAGGAATTCTGTTCAGGAGGTCGCATTTCAGGCTCTCCACATCATGTGTGACTGACTTTTACGTTATAATGATCACACACTAGGAATGTTATAAAGCGCCTATATAGGACAGTTTCTTTTGTATATTATCTGACTTTATAAACTCCCAACAACAATGTGCTTATATATTTTTTTCAGGCTAAATCTACCCAAGACACTGGCTGTCAGACTGATTTAGCTGCAAGAATGCACTTGTCCAGGCTGACGTGAAACCTTCCCTGTAGCAAAGGTGAATTATTTTTAATAATCTTCTATGTAAACATTTTATTATTACCTTCTAGTTTTAATTTGTTTTACAGATTATTGTTACACGTGATTTTATGCTCTTTTAAACATTTATAAATGTGCTGCTTCTTTGTTTTTACATAGCCAGCCAGAATGGAGTTCACAGCCGCAGTGTGTCTGGTGACCCACGGGGACCATGATGAAAATTCATCTTCCAGAAGGTCCCAGAGCAGCGGCCACACCCCCTGAAGAGACCAAGGTGTGAGGTGTCTGCTGTTGATTCCAGCTTCCACCTCAGTGACAGTGCAAGCTCAGTGAACTGTTCAAGGTAAAAAAAAATTAAAACATTTCAGAATTTTTAAGATATTAACAATTAAATAAGTATGTGATTACATCATGACGGAGGCTACTGATTCTGCTCCCGTGACACTTGGTGGTGACGTGTGAGCTGATTCACCTGGAAAACAACTTTTACATTAAATATTTTGTTTTTGCTATCAAAAGTAAATTAACTAATAACCTGCATTATTGCAGGACACTCAGCAAAATATGGACTCTACACCATGAGGCAGGCACACGTTAATAACTATAAGAGCACATAAGGTGAGCAACACCACATATTGTACACTGTCCTGAATTTGTTTTCTTTCCGCATCTCATTAGCCTGGCTGATCACCTGATAACTCCTGTCATCTGGTTATGACAGCATGAGGATGTCCTCACACACCTGTAACCTACCAGCTCATCTGGCAGAATAGAGAGAGAAGAGACAACACCACATCTCCTGTTCCTGGAAAGCCTTCAGCCATCCTTCGATGACTGAGAACCTCCATCAGCTCTGTCTGCTGTCTACAATTATTATAATAAATATTGTGTTTGACAAGTTTTTTTGTGCCGCCAAATATCTCATATAGATTCCAGTTTTGATATTTTAATGGATATTTATAAATTACACTAATTGAATTATCACAATGCATGTTTAACTAGCTCTATTGTGATGAATTAAACTAGCACCTCACTGTTAAAAGCTCGTTTTAATTTCAAGCATGTTTAAGTATTTATGGACATGAACAAAAACAGGAAATATATAAATTGAGATTTATTTAATTAATATAACAAATAAGGAGGAAAGAGTCATTGAAAGGCACATTCTTCTGGAAGCTCCTGATCCTGATGGCACCAGCAGAGGAGACCACCTGCAGACACCAGAGACCAGCTGCAGACACCAGAGGACCTAGAACCAAGAGAGCAGCTGTTATCAGTAAATAAATAAATCAGGGCAGTTTTAGTGAGCTGAACACATTACAGAATAATTTTCTCATGGGGTATTTTCATAACTTTATGCAGCAGACTGTAACTTGAGCCCAGAGCTACCGTAGAGCTGCTATCCAGCACGTTTCAGTGGATTTTCCTGCTTTAACAGGTTAGATTAGCTGTTAAGCAGCTCAGCTATTTGTTGCTGATTAAAACCAGGTGTGCTGAAGCAGATAAACCTCTAAAACATGCTGAATACTAGCTCTGGGGGCCGTGGAGACAAACCCTGCAGCTAATCCAATGCTATGGCTAACGGCTACTTACGTTCAGAGGTGGTTCTGTTGGGTCGGTTCTGGGAGTTACAGGCAACTCACAAGCTCACAACAATAAGGCTCAGGTCCGCTTGTCTCCTCCAAATAGACTTGGTCCCTTTCTTCTCGAGTGTCTGGGTAAGGAGGGGGAGAAACATCCTCCACTTCTAATAACTGCATAGAGTGAAGGGAGCTAGCATCGTCTAGTTAGCCGTCGTCTTCGTCACTGCCGCGGCTCCGCCCTCTCGGTCCTCCAGGCAACGCCTACTAATGTTGCATTTTTTAAAATTGATACGTGGGTAGAGAAGGACTCCGAGGCTCAATTGACCCGCTCTTTAAAGAAAAACAAGCAGGAGCTGGCCACACCCACCCATCCCTGCTCAGACTGCTATAAGCTGAAAAGCTCGTTTCAACCATGTAATTCCTAAAATCAAACTGATTGAAAAAGATTTGTTTTCAAGCTTGGAATGGTTTAAGTGACATAGGGATGGGTACCTTTGACATTTGAATCGATCCGGTACTAATTCCCTGTACCTACGAATCGATACCGGTACTTAACGGTACCAATTTTCGATACTTTTGAAAGTTTAATATTTTAATTCTCTTTTATAATTAGAAATATATTTTTCTCAATTTATAACCATATTTGATAAATATCACAATAAATAACATACAACTGTTTGTATTTTAACATCGTCAATGTAGTTTTATAAGCTCATAATTAAACTGAAGCAAACATCTTTACTGTGAACTAAATTTACTGTGTATCTTCATTCCTTTTACCGTCCTTTTTCAATTGATTTTTCTTACTGGGAAGTTAGAATTTCCGAGGAGAAAGCGAACGCACCATTAGATGATAACAATGGTGGCATAGGAAGCTAACATATCAAGCTACGTTATCTTAAACAGTTTATTTTACTACCGGAGCAGATTTAAACGATGATGCCTCACACTTAAATCGTTGTCACTGGTTTCATCTTCACCCAATCACCTGTCGCAGTTAGCAAAGTGAAGCCAAACTTTAGAGCGCGTTCATGTTCTTCTAGTCGGAATTTCGGAGTTCTGAGGAGAAAGCGAATGCACCATTAGTGAAACGGAAGCTAACAAATCAAGCTAACGCTATCTTACATTTTATTTACCTACCGGAGCAGATTAAGATGAGGATGTCTCACTTAGATCATTGTCGCTGGTTTCATCATCACCCAGTTACCCATCAGTGAAGTGGACCCAAGCGTTAGCGTTCATTCTTTCTACCCATGCTGCTCTGTTTACAACTGGCTCGCAGCGACCGATGACATAACGCTCTTGCGCATGCGCAGCTGTCTAGGCAAGTTCTCGTTGTGAAGGACGGGTACTGAAACGAGGCACCGTTTCAAATGAAGTGAATCGGTGCTCGGTCGGTACTGTGGAATTCGGTCGGTACCTTAAAAAGTACCGAATTCGATACCCATCCCTAAAGAGACATCAGAGAGCTACATTGCAGCACAATGCAAAATGTGAGTTTTTCATAATAATATGTCCCTTTTAACGTTATTTATCTTGATCTTTTCTCCCAAACGTTTAAAATCTAATCATTTAACCATTGTCTGATTCTTTACTTACTTTGTGGAATTTTCACAGAAGTATTTCCAGTGGATTTTTATTTTTTCAGATTAGACCAAATCCCTACTGTTTACCATTTTCCCCACTTTTTTATTTTTCCAAAGGTTTCAAGCAACATGTAGAAGAACGAGTAATCCCAGACTCCTAATTTCCAGTAAAAGGATCTCCAGTTTTAAAATTTTCCACTATTGTCTTTCTGAGATTTTCTGTTCTCCTTGTGCACACAAGGGTTTTCTCTGTTTACTCCATGTTTTTAGAAAAAAAATATTTTTTATATATATAGTGATTCAAAATCAGATTAGAAGTCAAATGGAATCTGAATGTCACTCAATCCCACGTTAAACAGGTTTGTCGGACTTTCTTCTTCCACTTTCGGAATATTGTTAAGATTATAAGCATCCTTTGCAGGAATGATGCTGAAAAACTAGTTCATGCATTTATTACCTCAAGACTTCAGAATGCCCATGCTCGACTTCTGACCAAATCCTCCAAACACTCCAACACCACCCCGCTTCTCCTCCAGCTTCACTGGCTGCCAGTCACACTCAAGGATAGTTTCAAGATCCTGGTTGTGGTTTTCAGAGCCTTACATGGATGAGCACCATCATACATAGGGAGCCTAAGTCACTTCCGCATCATGGGTCCCCGGAAGAACGAAAAAATGAATGCAAGTCAGCGGGGCTAAAAACGCTATCTTCTAACTCTGGTTGTTTTGTGCCATGGATTGCACATCTGATGTCCGTGAATTTTAAAGACACATTTTGATACCAAGAACGTGCTTATTTTCAAACAGGGGGAATGATATTTTAGGTTTTGTGTGAAAATAAGTCCAGGACTACAAATGCGCTTCACGAAAGTGATGTCATCGAACCAGACACGGAGAAAACTGATGAAAAAGGGCTGTAAGTTCAGCAAACTTCTCACAGGAGGAAAGAACCACCATAAATCTGGTCATTTGGTAAGTAGCAGCTACTTTGGAGAGAGGAGGTTATGTGGTGACGTCACATATGCGACGTGCCGATTTCTAGTTTGTAGTCATGCTAATTACGAACTAAAGTACGTGACTGGCATGGTTGAAACACCCATCATTACTTTTCATTTAAATTGAAGTACAACACATGTGCGATCCAATTTGCTGGGTTCCTTATATAGGAAACTTCTTACTGATTGGCTTAATGAACTGAACTGGATTGGAATGTTTACTTTGTGATGTGCCTTGATATGACTCTAGTCGTGATTGGGTGCTTTATAAATAAACCTAACTGAATTGAATTCAGTGGCTGTGAGATCACATGGTTGCTTTATTTCACATATTGGTTTTAGCCTTACAGAGCCTGACTTGTTGCAGGACCTTAGGCTTCCACATGCAGTTTAAGCCTTACGATAATAATTGTTTAGTGTTTTTATCAGGGGATCAGCAGTGGGCACTACTGAAGAACAGTCTGAGAACTCTGGTGACTGGTGTTAAGCGGTGTGGGAAGTACCATGCTTTACTTTGCTGGGAAAATTATTCTTTGTTGGGGCAAGAATGACATTGGCTTTAACATGAGTGTTTTAAGATTTAGGAGCAAAAAGTATTTAGAGAAAGTCTATTTTAAGAAAGGAATTTGACATTTTCAAAGCACATATTTGCAGAATAACTTTAAAAATGTTCTACATGTACTGAGTTTTTTTCTCCTATTACTTTTATTTAATGCTTTAATTTGCTACTGTCATTATGCTTTATGGCTGCATGGTGGCAATTGTTGGAACTATTAAAATGCAGAATGAAGATGGCAGGTTTTTAAACCTGGCTGCAGCTTTGTTGCATGGAAATTCCATAGTCTCTCCACGGGTGTGTGGGTTTTCTCCAGGAGCTCTGGTTTTCTAGCCTGGCAAGCCATCCGATATAGTCTGGCCATGACCCATAGACAGAGTTCAGTTTTGGGGCGGAATCTACAGTTGTTTTTCAAACTGTCTCTGCATGCTATTGGACTACAAACAACGTGATGTACTCACCACCACAGATGTCATTCAACGGGGCAGTCCACCATACACTGTTGAAGAAGACACAAATATGCCTTTTTTCTAAATAAAGAACTTAAGTACCTCTATCTGCTCTTGACTCAAAGAAAAGACCAAATCTAAAGAGTTGAAAGTTGATCCCAAAGCCATTTCAAACGAGCCGCCGCCATTAACGTATTTTTTGCTCAGTCGCAGTAACCTCTTGTCCACTAAACTGACACAATGCTGTGATTGGCCCATTAAACATGTAGAATGCTATGATTGGCATAACACAACACCATTCAGGCCAATGGTAGGCCTGCAGAGGCTCCTGCTGAGGATGGCTAGACCGACATGCAGAGCAAAATCATTTTGCTTTTGCAACTGTCTGTGCAGACTCACCCAGTTTGGATCTCGACCACCGAAGGCTGTTATTGATTAAGCAGCAGAGAGCAGAGTGTGTCTTGGCTAGCAGAAGCTGACCATTAGCATTAGCAACTCAAAAACATGGTGGAACATGTTCAGGCTTGAGTTATTTGTGGAGATAAAACATTAATTTTGCAGAGCAAATGGAGTAAGAGCCACGCTGCTGTGAGCCAATCCAAGATGAGATGTTCAAATGTCATCAATAAGCAGGACTACAAATCCTGCCATTTTCTGCCTTCCACTCCTCCGGCTAACTTCTACTTCCTGAAACAGAAGCGCCAGAGTTCATTTTCTCCACAAGGTATTCGTTCACACTAGAGACCACAGCAGATTTATTGAAAATATTGAAATTAAAGTAGTGTGGAGAATATGGTTCTGCTCATCACCTCCAAAACCACCTGTGCCCTCTCTCCAATGAAGTGTTCACAGAGACTCTCGTTAGAACTCAGGATAACTTTTATTTTGCAGACTCACACAGATTACAGAGTGCACTGGACTTGTTAAGGTGACTATAAACTTGTATTTGCGAGGCGGACATTTACTAACATGTGCACACACACACATCAAGGCAGTAACAGCTATAACCGAAGGTAGCCCATCACACTGAACCTGTAAGTCGGTCTTTGAATGATGAATGAATAAACTCATTTTTCTGAGGCTAGGTAACGAGAAAATCAACTTTTTGATTGAATTGACCCTGACAAACTTGTAAACGGAACAAAAGCTGTCATAATATGCATCAGCAGCTAAAGGACGAGTTAAAGAGAAAATGTGATTTCATGATAAGCTGCCCTGTTCAACACTGTCAGCAAACTCATCTATTATGGCTGCTGTGTCTACAGATTGTTGACATGAAACAAAGCTAAAGACAAAGTCAAAACTAAAAATCTGTCACTGATAAAACACATGAAAGGCCTTTTTTTTTTGCCCGCCCTGGTTCTTTTGTCTTTGATTTTGTTTTGACAAATATTAACCACAGCTTTCACTTTCATGTCAGCATTATTTCATTTGAAATTGCATTCCTGACATGTTGACAATTTTCTTTTTTTCATTCTTTTATTACCCCTTGATGGGTGGATGCAAGTAATAAAATCACAGCAGGAGATCGGCGGCCGAAATGAGCTGTGCGCCGAGCTAACCTTCAAAAGCCAGCGAATAATGGATGTCACAGCGGCACGTTCCACAAGACTGAATTAAACTCCAACAGCTAGGAACGAACAGAGAGATTTGTCCACAAATGTGGAAATTACAGGCCCTTTTTGAAGGTGGGAGGAGCGCGTTTAGCAGCAGGGGTTTGTACTTTTGTCAGAAAAGAAAACAATGTTTGTGAAGTCTGTGTGATTTATTTTTTTCAGACTTTGCTGCTCTTCATCAGA